GCCCTCGCTGTGCCTCAGGGCGGGGCGGGCCGGAGGGCCGTGGCTCGGGGGAGTGGGGGTGGGCAGGGAGGAGGACCTGGGCCGGGCGCGGACTCCGGGGGAGTCGCTGAGAGGCTATGGGGAAGGACCAGGAGCTGCTGGAAGCCGCTCGCACGGGAAATGTGGCTCTGGTGGAGAAACTCCTGTCTGGCAGGAAAGGAGGGATCCTGGGCGGTGGATCCGGACCCCTGCCCCTGTCTAATCTGCTAAGGTAAGGGCGGCACGGGCTCGCGGCTGGCCCCCCTCGTTGTGCATTGTGATGGATACGTACTCCTCCTCCTCCTCACGGTGATTGCACCTGCTGGCTGCCAGCGATTCATTCTTAAATTAGTAGGAAAACAGGCAGTGTGTGGAGAGGCGGCGTGAGCATCCCCGTCGGATTGATGCCTTATCGTTGAGTAATTTTAAAATAGCCTTCCATCAATGCGTCAGTCAGCTACTTTTCTCTGAGCTGTGGTGCAGAACTTGCACATGCACGAGAGCGGCTTGAAGAAAACCAGCCTTCCACCCGCTTTCCATCCCTGTTTGTTATGTATTTGCAGCCTCGAAGCCAGCTTTTTTTTTTTTTTGTCTATTTAAATGAAACTGGCAGAGAAGCTACTGTATTGCGTGCATGCAATTACTCTGCCAAAGCCATAGCCTTGGGTGGCTACCTTTTCTTGAAGAAGGCGTTTGCTGTGCTGTGGGTCTTGATCCCACGAAATGAAGAAAGTAGACCTGCTGAGGTGTCATCAGCACAGGAAGTGTGAAACTTGACGAGCCAGGTTGACTAGCCCCAGCAGTAGTTTAAGTTACCTGGGCATTGCTGAGTGAAACTTGGTTATTACACCTCGGGCTGCAGGATGCCGGGTCGGGATTGGGATGGTGTGTGTGGAACATAGTAGAGGCCTTTTAATGCGAAGCCCTTGCAGGTGACACGAATATTGCTTGCAGAATCTAAGATGACATTTAAAAAAATGTCAAGGTCCTTAGTTAGCAAGCAGTACCTTGGAAATAGAAGTGTTGTATACTCCAGAAACTGTTATCTTAAAAGTTCACTTGATGGACAAGCGATAACAACCGGGAGGGAGGAAGACGGAGGGGCATTCATTAGTTTCTGAAATCGTCACCATTCAGTTTGTCCAGGATGTTTTTGGAGGCATCATTCAGCATTTATCTTCGCTTAAAAACCTCTCTTAGGCAATCCATGTACACTCCTAAAATTTTTAAAAAGCCTATGTGATTTTATTGGTTTTAAAAAGAATTCTGTCTTGTTCTTGGCCAGTGCTTAATACAAACTTTTGAGTGGTGATGCTGTGTTCTTTACATAGATTCTCATAGTTGTAGTGATCGGACAGTGCATTTAATTATAGTGCTAGCTAACCGGGAAAATGAAAAGTTTATAATACAGTGAGATACATTATTTGGAAAATGGTTGATGGGGCTTTAAAAGACCAAATCTGTATCTTATCATAATGTTTTTCTGACTGACATTTTATTGGAATGACAGTTCGTGTCACAACAATTAATATTTATAAGACATTTTTTCAATAGGTCTTAGAAATAATGGCTTTACTTGTGTTTTCTTGTTAAATATTTTTACTTCAAACCCTAGTAGGCAGTGGATACGAATTCAGACTACATCTAAGTAATTGCCCTTAGCCACAGATAATGTATAGAAAAGAAATTTATCTAGTTACAGTTTTAAGTTATAACATAAATAGATTTGCCAGGGGATCCACTAGTTGTAAAAATGATTATGGTTAGACACCTCTGTGCTGAAAGAAGTTTCTCAAAATGTGTAGTTCCTTTGGAAAAATACTAAAAAATTCTTTGAGAATAATGAGTACTTCAGCTAATTTCATTCAGGTGAATGCTGTTTTGAAAACAGTCTGTGACAGAACTCAAAGACAAGCATCTTTTAGACACTCCTTCCCAGTTGTGCCATTTTTTAAAAAAAGAATACATGTTGATTCTTAGGAATAAAATATCAATTATTTCCATAATTCTGACCCACAGTGTACACCTCACATGGGAGGTTTTCTCTTTTGCCATTTTGTAGGAGGTAGCAGTAATACTGTACAAAACAAAAGCGTGTAGAAAGCAATCAGACTAAAAGACATGTTCTTTAGAGTAGTTTGAACAAAGTTGTGAAAGTCACAAACAAAACCAGTAACTTTTAGACTTGCGTTTATCTCACACTGCATAAACAGCTAACAGTATCCTTGAAGAAATAAGAGTTGAAGTTGCATTCTCTGAGAAAAATCTGCATAAAGTGAAATTTCTAAGAAGGCATATTTTATTTAGTTGTCACTTTATTTCATAAGTGAGTGTCATCAGAAATTTATATCATAATGGAAGGTGTGTCTCCCCTTGCCCATCAAACATAATGAGGCTGAAATATTTTAATATTTTGGAGTTAATTGTGAAATAAATTGGGTATTTTTTCCCATTTGCTTTATGTGGTATAGTGATAGTGTTAGACCCTGTGCTAAATGCTTATGTGTATCATCTAATTCAATACTTACATCAACTTTAAGAGGTCGATGTTCATTTCACAGATGAAAGACTAGAGAGGTAGGAAGATTAATTACTTGCCCAAGGTTACTTCATTAGTAATGCCAAGGATTTGAAATTCAGTGGTTCACATTTGCTGTACCCGGTCTTAGGTCTTATTCATGAATCTGTTTTATTCACAGAAGTGTAAAGATATGTGGCCAATTTAGATAGTCCAATTTGTACATTTTTGCTGTGAATAATAATTGAATGTAAAAAAATCATTAATTTTCTATTAAAAATGTCTCTTGACTGTGTTTTTGAGGGTTCCCCAGATAAAAACTTTTCAAAAGATGCTCTTATTAAAAAATGATTACTTATTCACTACTAAGTGAGCAGGAGCTGTATGTGAAAGAGTGTGATATTGGAGTTTTCAGTAAAAGTAAGACTACCCTTAAATAACTATAAAACTATCTCTAAGCCCTTTCTCTAGAGTGGAATTATTGTAGTACCTACCACATAGGGTTGTTGTAAGGATTAAATGAGGTATAAAGCAATAAGTGAAAAGCATTGAGCACATAGGTGTTCATCATTAGTGTTAGTATTTCTCATGTAGCTCTAAAGCACATGGGACTCTGACTCAACTTGTTAAGGCCTTAATTACTTAAGATTTGTTCTTTTTTTCCCGTGGGAAGAACTATCATTTTCCTTAAAAAAATTTTTTTTTTTTTTTGGTCTTTTTGAGACAGGGTCTTGCTATGAAGTTCAGGCTGGCCTTGAGCTCAGTTTGTAGCCCAGGCTGGTCTCGAATTCACAACGATCCTCCTGCCTCAGCCTCCTGAGTGCTGGGATTACAGGTGTGCGCCACCATGCCCAACCATTTTCCTTAACTATTATGTGGTGGTAGGGCATAGGTGTTAAGAACTCAAGTTTTCATATTTTTTATTACTACTCATTTTTTCCTTCTTTACAGATTCTTAGACTTTCCAATGATCTTCTTAAAAGTCACAAGGAATGAACAATATGCACTAGATGTCAGTTGATCAGTGTTGAACAGAGTGGGGCTTGATATGCTGTTGAATAATTATAATTTTTAAAAACCGCAACAGGTTACAAAAGAGCATTCATAGGATGATTTTTTTATAAGATAATAAGTGTGAACATTTATAATATACATTAAGGAGTCTGGAATGATAAAACAATAAATTGGAGATACTGCTTACTTTTCAGTGCTAGGACTGTGGGTGATCTTTTTTTTTTTTTTTTTTACCGGCACTTTTCAGTTTCTACAGTGAACATATACAATTAAAATGGTAGTTATTAAAACATGATACAATGAGATTATTGTCTCCTTCTTGTTAATCTAAGGCCTTCCTACAGGTCAAGATTTTCTGAGCCATAAAATGGTATTGGTTCACATTGAGCATATAGTCAGTTAAAACTTCCAGGTATTTTTTTCAGTCATCTGTGAAGTTACAATTCTCCTATCTGGTACTTGTAAAAGTCTTAGCTGAACTTAAGTCATTCCTGTTACATTCAGTCTTGTTTTAGCCTGTGTTTGTGATCCATGTAGTTTTTCTTCAACTCTTGAGTCTGTCTTTCAGCATACTAACTTCTGTTCTCTGTAGCATCTGTAGAGTAAGTACACATTTCCTGTCAGTGTACAGTACACAGAAAATATCCCTAAAGAATCTCTCTTCAGCTTAGTGTCAGTTAAAAACTGACAGTCTTTATGCAAAGCATTTCGTCCTACATTAGAGTCACTTAATAGAACTATATATTTATTTATTTTTTGTACTGGATGTCAAACTCAGTGCCTCGTGCTTGCCAGGCAGGCGCTGTGCCATGTAGCACATCCCCAGCCCTTAATAGAACTATCAGTTGGCTACTTCTCTCCATACCTGTGAGAACATTGTAAGGTATTTTATCTATTGCCTTTCTTAAATTTATCCTGCGTCCTGTTTATGGTATTCCTTTGATCTATCTCTTTAGTAGTAAGTCTATAAATTCCACCACAATCAGGCTGCCTTATTATAGCTTGTTTCTAGTAGCAAGCCATTCCTAGTTTTGATGAAAATCAAAACTTCTACTCTCTTGCCTCTGATTGTTCTGGGTCTGATTGGACACTTAACACTCACTTAAAACAGCAGAATGTCTCTTATGATCTCTTTGTTTGGAGCTTCAGTACTCTTATTTGTTTTTCCTTTCTAGTTTGAAAATAGTTCATAATAAGGAAGACAGGAGGAAAACAGAAATTGGGAAGACTCAGATTCTTGGCATTGTTAGATAGCAGTGGAGATTCTTTTATGGTTTGAAGTTGTCTACAGTTTTACATTGTCAGAAATAAAGCTTACATTAGTGAACCATTTTCCTCCATTCTTTTTTTTTTTTTTTTTTTCCCAAACTTAGTTTAGGCATTTAGCATTTTTTCATGGAAAAGTATATATTTCTTTTCTGTGTTTGTTTTCAGGTATGCCCCTCACCAACCCTTTCTGTCTTTAAAGAAACCAGAGCTCATCAGCGTACTCAAATTGAGTTGTTACCTTCTTTTTCTTCCTCTGGATTACATGAGTGATTTTATTTTACTTAATTTACATCTTTCATGAGACAGGTACAAAACATTTTAATACCTTTTTCTTTGGCACAACTCCCTTTTATTCTTTTTTTTTTTTTTGTCTTTTTGAGACCGGGTTTTGCTATGCAGTTCAGGCTGGCCTTGAGCTCATTTTGTAGCCC